GATCGAGTTGCGAGTGGTACTCTCCAATTTTCTCATTTTGCCCCAATTGGAACTGATTTATCAAAATATTTGCTTTACGTTCATTATTATAAAAACGGACTGGTCCCTATTTGAAAACAAAAGTATAAAAATATTTTATTACTTTTATTAATAAATATGTATTAAAACTTACAGTTACTCCTTCAAATGAAGTATTTCGTAGTGCTTCTAAAAAAATTGTTTCCCAATCCTTCACACGATAATCAAAATGTGTCAAGAAATCTTCACGTTTCTGCGCCACGTACTGTATTGCAAGCGCTGCTGCCCATATGCCGTCATATGTGTATCCATGAAAGCGTGAATATTCTGTACCACGTAGACTATCATATTCGGCAAGGTACTCATCTGCTGTCTGAAGAAAAAAATGTTATATTGAATATTATTTTTCAATGCATTAGACTTTTGTAATAGAATAATCGTCAGCTCGTAACATACAATATACTGTTTCACATTCAACAATAATGTATAATGATTGTACAATTTATTAAAGAAAATTTAAAAAATAAGTGAGTTATTTTAAATAGGTACCCACGTAGATATTATCTCTTAACATTTAATGAGACTACATAGGTAATTATAAGGAGGTGCTTGTTTAAAGAAACTTCTAATTATACGTTTTGTCATAAATGCAAAGTAATTCTCTTGTTACCTTTTTGCAAACTACTCTTATTGATTTAAGATCAAATCGGATATCCCTAATTAGGTTAGGTTGTACCGACGATCCAAAGGGCCACTAAGGCCTATTGGCTCATTGTGTTACCATATAAGAAAAAAGTCAGAGGTTTAGAATCACCTTAATGGGAGGTCTTGTAGTTAACCAAGTTCGTCAAAAATGAAGAATCCTAAAGCAGTAAGGTGGCGATGCACATATGTTGGGCAACAATAAAGCTGATGAGAAGCAGTTTCATCCTCCACTCTTCAACTGAGGCAGATACAATTGAAAGGGAGATTCAATTCTCTAGCATGGTTTCCTAAACTACAATGACCTGTAAGTAAACCTATTACAAAAGTGATTTCTCTACGGGGCATATCAATAAGAGTATTAGATTTTTTTCAATGGAACGTGGCCAATTTGCATACATATCGTTGAGTCCTTCTGTTTTTTTATTAAAAATATATCCTTAACTTTTAATTAATAAATTAACAATGTTTAAAATATTTACTATTCCCTTGATTAATTGCCTCTACTATTGATATTTTAAGAATAGCGGATTTGGACATTCACTTGAAGACAAGTTTTTACGAATTATGTTTGCAAAAACTTTTACTGAATGATTTAAGGTCTTAATTTAATAACAGATATATTAATTCTAATAGTAGTTCCTTTTATAAATCAATATTGGTAGGTGAAACATTTTTTTTATAACAGTTTTCAAAACCTTCCTTTGTTGTCAAGTCTATGTAATATTCTAAATCTATAACTAGCAACATTGCAATCAATGAAACTCTAACAGGGGCTTGGTAGTCAATGACGAGCAAAACTGATCACTTCTGGAACCGTTGAAACCATTAATTTAATTTGCTGCTATTATTTTATCCAAATTAATATTGTTTTGCACTGCATAAGAGAGGTTGATATTTAAAATTATTATGCGTAGAAACGCAGATGTAAGTACCTATCCAGACTACAATTTTTGTAGAAGAGGTTATATTAATTAATAATAATTTATATTTAAAATGGATGATACAACTAGTGAGAGACTATATTTGCTAAAGATAACAAATTAATGAGATTCAAATTAATATTCAAATTAATAAGAGGTGTGAGAAATTCCAAATGTGCAGAACTCTATCTGCTTAAATGGTGTTCACAATCGAAGAACACAAATTAGTTATACAAAATGTTTCTAAAACTTATTATATAAATATCAGGTATTTAATATTACCCATATTAACATTGCATATTTTCGTATTCATTTTAGAATTACTTACAATTCCTGCTATTGTTATATCACCACTTGTAGATAATGGCAATAAGTCCACCAAAATTGTGCCCTCTAAAGCGGTAGAAATCTCTTCCACCGTACATTCGGTGTCAATTGTAGTGTTCCACCATTCCGTAGAATATGTTGCCATAATCAGCCACTGATAAGCACGTCCATACATATCTAATCTAAAGGCAATATAATTTAACGTTATATCAATAAAGATATATTTATGTAAATTTTCTTACTTAAAGGCTTCACAAAATACTTTTCTTGCAAAGTGTTCGTTGAAGTTTCCCAGTATAATTCGCACATCTGAAATATTCAAAAATATTAGCCAGAGTTTTTACTCAGTCTTGAGGCAAAGATTTTAACCTTTATCTCTAAGCTTTCTTAAACTTTCATTCACATCATTAACGAAGCTCTGAGTTTCAACAACTTCTAAATTATCACTGTCTAAATCAGCAACCATATGATTATGTGGCAAAGAATATCGTGGTTCATTCTGATACAAAGTTCCAACTCTTGTCCAATTAAATTCTTTTAACAGCGCCAAACGTGGTGCGTTAAATGCATTTTCCGAGGGTACTACACGAAAAAAATTAGGAAATGCATCCTTCGTAAACATAGGATGCGTATCTGCGTATGAAAGCTGTGTCAGATGCCAATGTTTACTAGCCTTCGCAATCGGATCAGTTACATGGGTGCAAGCTGCACCAAATAACATAAGTTTATTGGGACCTGAGTGCATCATATCAAAAAATGATTTTACACCCACCGCAGCATTGCACTATAAATATATAAAAAATATATGTATAAATATGTTAAAAAAACTTTATTATTTATCAGTCATTTGAATACCTCTGTATCATTCCACCACATATGTAAACGATAATTAGTTAATATTCTTGGATGCTCATTTACATGCGATAAAGCCAATTTAACACTTGGCATAACACCACGTCCTTTAAAGATTATATTTTCTAGTTTACAAAATTTTGGAAATATAGTTATTTTGTTACCAGTTTCTGAATTCTCAACTCCATCGCCATATGGGAAAAATCCTGCTATGTAGACATCAGAACGTTTTGCAGTACGAGCATATATTTCATTCCAAGTGAATATGAGAAGTGCAATTACCACCAAAGTTTTCATGCTGAAAAATATGAAATTATTTTTCACAGATATGTTAATAATTATTATTATTATTATTATTATTATTATTATTATTATTATTATTATTATTATTATTATTAAATATTATTATTATTAAATATTATTATTATTAAATATTATTATTATTAAATATTATTATTATTAAAGCCGTCGTCAAGAATTAATTAAAAATTTATTAGCTTTTGAAAGCGATTGTCATACTCGTATTACAGTGAGAAATATTTCCAAAAACTTTTCACAACCACTATTTGAATTAAGCGATTTGTATGCAATGATAAACCTCAATCTTAACCTTTTCATTATCATTTGTCATAAACTTCCAATAACTAAACCTTTCACTTGAATATATCTTCATTGTGATAATAAATGTTCCACAGATTTTAGTTATGCTTCATTGAAGGTGACAGAACACAAAATAAAGATTTATATTGGCATGAAACGTGACAATATCACCCATAACATCTACACAGATTAATCAAAAACGACGAACGTATAATTCATATTATACCACATCACTTTTTCCACAAAGCATTGAAACCATAGAAATATTAGCTGCGAATAGACGGGTATATATGTTATCAAGTTTTTTATATATATTTTTTATATATATGTTATATGTTTTTTGTTATCAAACCATAAAGACTAAAAGAGATTTTGAAACATATCTGATGTTCTATGCTCTGCTGTAGGCATCTTACATGTTAAAGGTCTAGGGACAGCTAGTCAGATTAGTCTAACTTAATCTAAAGATTTATGTTACAGACGAAACTATATTAATATTGCATTCTGGGAATCTAATTCTTACTCTTTACACAGATAAATTATTTTTGAAAACCAAATACACAAAAACAAATATTCTAGGAGAGACATGAATTATATCATAAGTTGTGATGATATGTTATGAATTGAATTCAAGCCATCTTTACAAAGAAACGGTTTTTTTCTGGTTCTACTAAATAGCACCATAGCATATTGCAGAAGCAAATATTT